CGAGGGCAGAGCAGGGGCAGGTGACCAGGGGCAGGGGGAGACAGGATGAGCAGAGGAAGCTCGGGGAGGAGAAGGCACAGGTGAGCAGGGGTAGGGAGAGGCAAGACTAGCAGGGGGAGCTCAGGGGACGAGGGGAGAACGGGGCAGGTGATGGGGCAGGGAGAGGCAGGACGAGCAGGGACAGCTCAGCTCAGGAGACGAGGGCAGAGCAGGGGCAGGTGCCCAGGGGCAGGGGGAGGCAGGACGAGCAGGGGGAGCTGAAGGGATGAGGGCAGGCACAGGAAGGTGAGCGGGGCAGGGGAGGCAGGAGGAGCAGGGGGAGCTCAGGGGACGAGGGCAGAGAGGGGCAGGGGATCGGGGTAGGGAGAGGCAGGACAAGCAGGGACAGCTCAGAGGACAAGGGCAGAGCAGGGGCAGGTGAGCAGGGGCAGGGGGAGGCAGGATGAGCAGAGGAAGCTCGGGGAGGAGAAGGCACAGGTGAGCAGGGGTAGGGAGAGGCAAGACTAGCAGGGGGAGCTCAGGGGACGAGGGGAGAATGGGGCAGGTGATGGGGCAGGGAGAGGCAGGACGAGCAGGGGGGCTCAGGGGACAAGGGCAGAGGAGGCACGGGCGAGCAGGGGCAGGGGGAGGCAGGACGAGCAGAGGAAGCTCAGGAGAGGAGGGCAGAGAAGGCACAGGTGAGCAGGGGCAGCGGGGAGCACAGCGAGCAGTAGAAACTCATGTGGGCAGAGCAGGGACAGGTGAGCAGGGGTAGGGAGAGGCAAGACTAGCAGGGGGAGTTCAGGGGACAAGGGGAGAATGGGGCAGGTGATGGGGCAGGGAGAGGCAGGACGAGCAGGGACAGCTCGGCTCAGGAGACGAGGGTAGAGCAGGGGCAGGTGCCCAGGGGCAGGGGGAGGCAGGACGAGCAGGGACAGCTCGCCTCAGGGGACAAGGGCAGAGCAGGGGCAGGGAGAGGCAGGAAGAGCAGCGGGAGCTGAAGGGATGAGGGCAGGGCACAGGAAGGTGAGCGGGGCAGGGGAGGCAGGAGGAGCAGGGGGAGCTCAGGGGAGAAGGGCAGAGAGGGACAGGGGATCAGGGGTAGGGAGAGGCAGGACGAGCAGGGACAGCTCAGAGGACAAGGGCAGAGCAGGGGCAGGTGAGCAGGGGCAGGGGGCAGCAGAACAAGCAGTGGGGGCTCAGGAGAGGAAGATAGACGAGCAGGGGTATGGGGAGTCGAGGCTGGCAGGGGGAGCTCAGGGAATGAGGGCAGAGCAGGGGCAGGTGATGGGGCAGGGGGAGACAGGACAAGCAGAGGACACTCAGGAAAGGAGGGTAGAGAAGGCGCAGGCGAGCAGGATAGGGGGAGACAGAAAGAGCACGGACAGCTCAGAGAACAAGGGCAGAGCAGGGACAGGTGAGCAGGAACACGGGGAGTCAAACAGGTAGTGGGGAGTTCAGGGAACCAGGGCATCCCTGGACCCTTGTCCAGCAGAAGCTGAGTCTTAGCCAGTACACACAGGAAGTGTCAGGAGAGCCCAGCAGGCTCCCATGGGTTGACCAGGCAACTGAGCCAGGCAGGGCGGGCAGGGGCCGCTGCAGCGGAGCAGGGCATGGTGGCCCCAAGGCTGGCATAGGAGAGGGTGCTGGGCAGGGGACGTGGGGTTGAGCCCCCGGAGACACAGGGTGGGCTGCCATGGACACCAGCTCTGCTCCTGGGCCTGGGGATGTGGGTCTCGCAGGAGCCCCAGCAGAGTGGGGACACAGGCTGCTGACTCAGAAGTGGGGAGCCAGAGGGTCATTCAGGGCAGGGCAGGGGCTGGCGGAGCCTGAGGGCAGAGAGGGAGCGGGGAAGGCGGGCAGGGCTCTGGGCTGAGTGGAAGATCGGCCTGGCAGGTGGGGACTTGGCTTCCCCAGGGTAGGTGTGGCCCAACTTGCTCCAGGTGCCCAGGGCTGCTGGGTCAGCACCAGAGAGAGCACAGCCTGCTCAAGCCATGCAGGGAGGGGCTGGCAGAGGGAGGGTGCAAGGCTCCTGCCTGTGCTGAGAGGGCCCTGGGTGGAGCTCAGCAGGGCCCTGGGCGGGAGGAAGGCTCTGGAGAGAGTGAGGAGTGGAGGGCAGCTGGCAAGACGAGATTTCAACCCGCTCTGGAGTTGGGCGGGTGAGTGGGGGGAGAGGTGGGTAGAGGGGCCGTAGTGAACCTCATGAAGCCATGCAAGGCACCCAAAAAGGGCCTGGTGGGCCCCATTGCTCAGGGCCGGAGACTGTCTGGCGGGTGTGAGGGGCTCCAGGGAAGGCAGGGGCAGGGCTGAGGAGGAGCCCACCAGGTGGCTGTTCCAGGACAGGGACAGTCCAAGAAGCTGGGCCCAAGGGCGCCTCCTCACCCTGACTCAGCCTGGTGCCTGGACAACAGGGCCAGCTCCAGAAATGAGGGTCCTGGAGGGCAGAGCCTGGACACCACCACAGGCACACATCTTGCTACACCCTGGAAGGGTCCTGATGCCAGGGCCAGGATGGGTGACAGAATCAGGGGTTGTGAAGGGTCCAGGGGCCGCAAGTACAGTTAGGAACTCACACAATACTGGAGGAGGGACAAGCGTGCCTAGGTTGTGTCTGGGGACAGAGCCGAGGACAAGCTGGAGGCCTCAGACTGTGGTGACTCCAAGTGGTTATCAAGCGCTGACCGGAAATGTGTCCAGCTTCTGCAGCTGCAGGGGCAGGAGGCCCTGTGCTGGCGAGAGAGGGCAGCCGATCCTGCAAGCCCGCAGGGGCGGGGCGGGGCAGGGCGGGGCTCAGGTGAGAAGGAGGAGGCCAGCAAGACACGGGGCCATGCCTGGACCCTCTCAGAGGGAGAGGAACCAGGAAGATCCAAGGTCAGAGAAGTCTCAGTGCTGGATCCGACTCTGGCAACACCACAATCACACATGCCTCTTCTCTTGCAGCCTCCAACACAGCCCCATCCGTCTTCCCCATGGCGCCCTGTGGGGCCACAACCGGCTCCACAGTGGCCCTGGGCTGCCTGGTCAAGGACTACTTCCCTGAGCCCGTGACTGTGACATGGAACTCAGGCGCCCTGACCAGCGGCGTGCACGACTTCCCACCAGTCCTGCTGTCGGGGCTCTACTCCAAGAGCAGCATGGTGACCGTGCCTGCCGGCAACTTGCGCAGTCAGACTTTCACCTGCAATGTAGCTCACACGGCCAGCGGCACCAAGGTGGACAAGAAAGTTGGTGAGAGGACAGCCCGGTGTGGGAGGGCATCCACCGGGTGATGGGCTGCAGGCCAACCCTCTGCCTGGATGGGCCACAGTTGGGAGGCTTCTGCTAGGGATGGTGACTCCTCCCCACCTGGAGACTCTGCCGGTGCCTCTCCTGCTCAGGAAGAGGGTCTTCTGGGCGCTTCTGCCAGACTCACGATGCCCCTGCCCCAGGCTCCAGGCACACAGAGGTGGATGCTGGTCTCTCAGCCCTGCCAAGATTCCAGGAGGAACTTGCCTGGTCTGAGCCTACCTCAATGGCCACACTCTCCCACCTCAGCTCAGACACCTTCTCTCCACACAAACCCCAGTAACCCCCGTCTTCTCTCTCTGCAGTAGCCACTCATTCTACCACAGACTGTCCAGAGTGTCCCAAGTGCTCAAGTAAGTCAGCCGGGTCCTAGCCCTCCAAGGAGGGGAATGAGGGCCCCAGAGCAGCTCGAGTCAAATGGCAGGCCCTACCCCAGGGGCTGACATGGTCCCCCCGTTTCCCCCCACCAGTTTCTGACGCCCTGCTGGGAGGACCGTCAGTCTTCATCTTCCCCCCAAGACCCAAGGACACCCTCATGATCACCAAGACCCCTAAGGTCACATGCGTGGTGGTAGACATGAGCCAAGATGATCCCGAGCCCGAGTTCGACTGGTACGTGGACAACATGAAGGTGGACACAGCCCAGACAAAGCCACGGGAGGAGCAGTTCAACAGCACGTACCGCATGGTCAGTGAACTCCCTGTCCAGCACCAGGACTGGCTGGATGGCAAGGAGTTCAAGTGCAATGTCTACGGCAAAACCCTCCCAGCCCCCATCGAGAGAACCATCTCCAAGGCCAAAGGTAGGAGCGGTGGGCTGGCGGGTTGTGGCAGAAGACTTTCACTGGTCCCACAAACAAGGCCAGCTCAGCCCACCCTCTGCTCTTGGAGTGACCTCTGTGCTGGCTTCTGTCCCTACAGGGCAGCCCCGTGAACCACAGGTGTACGTCATGCCCCCATCCCAGGAGGAAATGAGCCAGAACAAGGTCAGCCTAACCTGCCTGATCACTGGCTTCTACCCTTCAGACATCAATGTTGAGTGGGAAAGCCATGGACAGGTGGAGGAAGACTCCAAGAATACCCCGCCTGTGCCAGACAGCGATGGCAGCTTCTTCCTCTACAGCAAGGTCTCTGTGGACAAGAAAAGATGGGAAGAGGGGAAATCATTCACGTGCTACGTGATGCATGAGGCTCTGAACAACCACCACACGCAGAAGTCTCTCTCCCGGTCTCCGGGTAAATGAGCGCTGTGACGACCAAGTCCCTTGCTCCCGCCACAGCCCTCGGGGTCCCATGTAGACACCTGATATGCACCCCCATGTACATATTCCCTGGGCACCCAGTATGGAAATAAAGCACCCAGCGCTGCCCTGGGCCCTTGCGATACTGTGGTGGTTCTTTCCACAAGACAGGCTGGACTGAGGCCTGATTGTCATGAGGGGGACAGAGTGGGTTCCACACGGCCCAGACCCAGGATGTGCAGGTCCTCCAGTACGGGGCTTATGAGTGGGAGGACGTAGCCAGTGGGGCCTCTCTTCCCAGTTTCCATTCAGCCAGTACTACCCTGGGTTGTTCAGGGAGAAGCCCCCAGGAGCCCCTTGGGGACACCAGCACAAAGTTCCGCCTCTACAGGAGCCTGTCCCTGTCTGCGGGCTCCCTGTCCACACAGGGACATGCATAGCCATGCACGTAGGGACGGGCCACCCTTGAACCCCTGGCCACTGCAGCACTTGGCCCAGGCAGCTCTGCCAGCATTGACGCTGCATGGGGTCAGGGCTACCCACAGTGGGGACACTGTCCCCATGCAAGCCCCTGCCCCAGGGAGGGACAGTCCCAGACACCCACGTAGACACTGAACCCAGATCCATGAAAACAAGCCCCTCCTGCTGAGCCCTGGCCAGCACAAGCAACCATGGCAAGCACGTGTGCACACATTTCTATGACACATTTCCATGCACACACTTAACACACAGGCCCCCCCCAGGGGCAATGCCCCTGAACAGGGCCTACTCACACAAACACTCCACCAACATTGGTCCCCCATCCCACATCACCTCAAGGCCCACGGGCAGTTCAGACAAGGGAGCCTGGCACCCCCACATGCACACACCCTACAACCAGACCGACCCCCACAGGGGCACACATTTTCCATCACTACCCTGGCCCTGGGTCACTTCTACCTTCCCCACAGTGGTAACTGCACCAGGGATGGGCTCCACCATCCTTCTGCCCTCTAGGCCTGGGTGCCAGGGATGAGGCAGAGGGTGGGCAGGTGCAGATCGCTCCCGTAGGGGCTGGGGGGCACAGAGGAAAAGGATCCAGGTCTCCTTCCAGTCCTGGGGTCTGGCCAAGTCCTGGGGTCAAGTCTAGGGGAGTTGGGTGCAGAGGCTGGTGTCCAAGGAGGGCGGCTGAGGGGAGCAACCTCAGGCAGTGCCAGCCCGGCCAGGATCCTATGTCCTTGGCCCTGCCCATAGGGAAGCACCCAAGAGGCCTGGTCGGGGAGACATCACACTGACCACCCCCTCCCTGTCCAGAGCTGCACCTGGACGAGAGCTGTGCCCAGGCCCAGGACGGGGAGCTGGATGGACTGTGGACCACCATCACCATCTTCATCACACTCTTCCTGCTGAGCGTGTGCTACAGTGCTACCGTCACCTTCTTCAAGGTCGGCCCACACTGCCCCCATGCTGCCCCTGATGCTGTCTCTGCCACTGTCCCTGCTAGTCCCCACATCATCCCTGACACTATCCCCATGCTGTCCCCACACTGTCACCATGCTGTACCCCATGCTGTCCCCACATTGTCCTCAATGCTGTGCCCCATGCTGTCCCCATGTTGTCCCCACATTGTACCAAATGCTGCCCCCATGCCATACTCCTTACTGTCCTCACTCTCTTCCACATTGTCTCATACATTGTCTCACCCTGTCCTCACACTGTCCCCCCACTGTCCGCTCAATGTTCCCCACAATACAGTCCCCACCATGTTCCCCATCCTGTAGCCATGTTGTCCCCACACTGTCCCTGAAGTCCCCATCCCAGATACTGCCCCCATGTCCCATGCTGTCCCTGACACTGTCCCCCACAGTGCTCGTGCTGTCCCTGACAGTCCCCAACACTGTCACCATGCTGTCACCTCACTGTCCCTGACACTGTCACCATGCTACGCCCACACTGTTCCCATGCTGTCTCCATGCTGTCCCTGACACTGTTTCCAAACTGTCACCACACTGTCTCCTCATGTCCCTGACACTACCCCATGTTATCCCCACACTGCCCCCATGCTGTCCCCACAATGCCCTCAATGTCTTTTTGCTGTCCCCCACACTGTCCCCACTCATCTCCTCGCTTTGTCTCCTACATGCTGTCCCCTATACGCTATTCTCAACACTGTCCCACATGCTGTCCCCATGCTGTCCCTTCACTGTCCCCGAGCTGTCTTCATGCTATTTTCCACACTGTCCCCACACTGTCCCCACGTTGTCCCCGTGCTGTCCATGACACAGCCCCCTACACTGTCTCTACATGCTCTCCCTGCACTGTTTCCCCTCCTTGTCCCCCCCCACACTGCCTCCACCCTACCCCCATTGAGGTTCCCATGATATCACCCTCCACTGTCCTTACACTGTCCTCATGTTATCCCCACACTGTCCCTAACACTGTCCCCTAGGCTGTCCCTCACTATTCCCATGCTGCTCCCCCATATTCTCTCCCTGATGCTGTCCTCCCTGTCCCCCATGGTTCTCCCAAGTGTTCTCCCACACTGTCCCTGCCCGACCTTCCTATCTATGTTCGAGTCTCAGGGGCAGGCAGCTGCGAGGCCCTGGTCTCTGAGAGGGCTGAGGGAAGACGCCTCGGGCTGGGGACTGTGGCCTCACTCACACATGGGCTGTCCCTGCAGGTGAAGTGGATCTTCTCCTCCATGGTAGACCTGAAGCAGACAATCATCCCCGACTACAGGAACATGATTGGGCAGGGGGCCTAAGGCCACCCTCGGCATGGATGTCCAGGGCCACCTAGGCCCCCTACAGCCGCCTGCACACCACGCTCAGCTGCCATACAGGCCGCATCTGCCCTCTGACCACACTGCCCTTGGCCTTGCAGCTCTCTGGCCTCACCGTCATCCTCCAACCCCGCCACGCCTGACCGTCCCTCTTTGAGAACCTTGAGAGCAGGTGTCTTCAGATCTCTGCTGCCTGGGGTGCTAGGGGCCATTCGTCCCCTCACGGAGACGTCCCTTTCCTACGAGCAGATTGGTGCTCACCTACAAGGAGACAGAGGCTGACATCCCAGTCATCCACCCAGGCAAAGCCAGCACTGTCCGTGACAGCCTCCGGACACTGATGCATTTTTCCAGATCCTTAAGACCACTGAGGCTAGGAAGCCATCCGGCCAGCAGCCTTCAACAGGGAAACTTCCAGAAGTGCTACTAAAGGTCATGCCTTCCTCCTGGCCCACACACGGTCAGGCTTCATGCTGTGACTCCTGTGAACTGCTGACCTGAGGAATGAGCTTGTTTCTATTTGAAGAAAAGAACACTGTCCCCAGGTTCCACCGAACAGGGTCTCGCGGGCCGACACCACCCCTTGGCCAGCTGCTCACCCCCATGGAGTCTCGGAGGTGGGACTCGACCCACAGAGACAGACAGCCCCAGAATCTTCACTGGGAAGGGGGCCGAGCCTGGGACGCTGCCCCCACCCCCGCACTGGGGTCCCCCGCCCCACTCCACAGAAACACTCGGAGAAGAGCCTGGGCAATGTGACTGCTGCGGGCTGGAGGGTGGGAGCACCCAAAGAGGGATGGGCATGCGGCCAGGCGGGCCTCCTGCCAAAGGAACAAGACACTTCAGTGGGTCCCCTAAACCTAAGGACCAGAGGAGCTCCAGGGGAGCGAAGCGGAGAGACACCCGGAGACCACAGCCAGACCCGCCCTGAGTCAACCGCCAGGAGCCACCAGCCAATCAGGGATGCGGGATAAGAGACAAGACGACCAAGGAGACAGCCCAGGCTGTGCAGGCTTCAGAGATCCAGGCCGGCCAGTCACAAACACCAAACCGGGGCTCCCGTGCTCCACTGCTCTGTCCCTTCTTTGGACACGTGGCAGGTGGGATCTGGAGGCAAGAGAAGACATGAGCAAGGAGACGTGCACTGCCCCGCCACCACAAAGCTTGAGGAAACCATGCAAAGAAAGCGCCACAGTTTTAGCTTGGGTAGCTTTTTTATCCTTCTTAATTTTCTGAAGTTCAGTAACCGCCTTTAATGTTTCTTGTTTTTCTAAATGACAAATAAACATCCTCTAAAAATCCTGTACTCTGTGCCAGAAGGAGCCTTCCTGTGTTGACATAACTCGGGCTGCGGACAATACAGACATGAGGAGGTGGCTGGGTGGCAGTCGGGGTCCAGGGAGGGTCCTGCAGGGACCTGACAACCACGCTCCCTGCCCTGCGTGACCTTTCCCGACCCCTTACTGCCACCAATGGTCCACCTGGGCTCCTTGTCTTTCCTACACGGATGCATCTTTTCCTCCCAGCAGGGCAGCACCTGCTAATCCCAGTCAATGCTGTGGGCAGTGGTCAGGGGATCTGAGGGCCTCACAGGCCCTGCAGCAAGCTGGAGTGAGGCCTGGAAGTGACATTGGGCTGGCCAAGCAGAGTCACACGAAGGAGTTCCAGAACTAGCCATGGCCAGAAGCAAGAAGCTTGTGTCTGGGCTGTACCATCCACCTGGGCTACCATAACGACCGCATGGACAGGTGGCGCAGACAGCAATGGTGATCCCCTCACAGCCCTGGAGGCTGAAATCCAAGGTCAAGGTGCCATCAGGGCTGGTTCCTCCCACTTCTCTCTCCTTGGTTTACAGATATCCTCTTCTCCCTGGGTCTTCACATGGTTCTCCCTCTGTGAATGTCTATGTCCTAACCTCCTCTTCTTATAAAGACACCCATCAGATTGGATGTGGATCCACCCTAATGTCCCCATTTTAACTTAGTTTCCTCTGTAACGATCCTTTCTGCAAACAGTGACATTCTGAGGACCTAGGGTCAAGACTTCAGCAGGTGAGTTTGTTGGGAGACACAATTTAAGTCATTACAGTCACCCTCTGGCCCCAAAATTCATGTCCTTCTGACATACAAAATACATCCCTACCATCTCAACATCTTCTAAAGTCTCATCCCATTCCAGCTTCGACTTTAAGTCCAAAATCTCATCTAAATATCCTCTTAATCAAGTATGGGTGAAACTTGAGACATGACTCACTTTGGGGTAAAAATTCAGCCTGCAGGAGGCCTGCTGGGTGCCAGGAACAAGGACCAGGCAGAGGCAGATGTGGAAGCATTTTCAAAGACAAGCAAAACCAGACCCTAGTTAAAGCGGCAAGGACAGATTTTTAAGCAGAAATCACTATTGCAGTAGGAAAATGAGCCCAGCATGACCCGAGCTCACCCTCTACCTGTGCAGAGGTGACGAACCCACCAAAGGGAGAAAGAGAGGCCAGGAGGGTGCTTGGGCCAGGACTCATCAGGGGCTTCACTAAGTCACCCAGCGCTAGCCTTGTGCCTAGGTGGGCCTGCTTTGTCTGTGCTGGTCCCTGCTGAAGTCAGGACTCTGCTCAAGAGTGACATACCCCTCTCTCTTGTGGTAAGGACTCTTCAAGGAACAGGTCTCAGGCCCTGAGAGGCTCTGAAAGATGCTCTTGATCCCGTCAGGACCACCGCGACGGGACAGAGGACTCATAGCTGTCAGCCCTGTGCTCAAACACTCTGGGCAAGGGGTTTCAGTTGGAGTGAACAGGCAGTTTCAGCTCATGGAACTTTCCCAACCAGGAGCTGACGTGCCTGTTGGGAGAAGCGGGCCTGGAACCACCGGAAACAGTTAGTGTCTGTCTGAGTCTCCCTAGGCCAAGCTCATGACAGGCTGAGTGAACAGAGGTTCCACAGAGCCTTGCTGGAGTGTAGGCAGGGGGAGACCTTGTCAGCGAGGCCACAGCAGCCTGGAAGTCGCACTAGGAAATGCCATGGGAGCTCTCAGTGGCAGGAGACAGTCCATTTTACATGGGAAAGGGCAGTGGCTGAATGCTTTCTGGTGGCATCACGGCAACAGGAGTGGGTGGAATCCCAGGCCCTGCCATGCCATGTGGGGGCTCCATGACAGACACAAGGCCAATGCCCACTGGAGGGTGGGCCCCAGGGGATCCAGGTCTGGGTTGATGCCTTTAACTCCTTGGAACACAGCGTGAAACTGGTGGGGCAAGGGAGAGCCCTGGGGTGCAGGAAGCGGTGGCGTCACCAGCCAGCCCCATCCCAACCCAAGAATGACATCCCAGATATGCTAGATGCTCTGTCCAGAGAACACACCAGCCCTCTGGGGTCCTGCCAGGCAGGTCCCCACCATCTGCCCTCCATGGTGCCCTCAGGGATCTGGAGGCTGGTGCAGCAAGTCCCAGTCCTCTGTCCTGCATGTCCATGGCCCAGCTGGGCTGAGGGAAGGAGACCAAGCCAGTGCCAAGCACTGGCCATTCCATGGACCCAGCAGGCCACACTTCCTGCAGTCTTGTCTCGCGCAGGCCCCAGAAGCCAGACCCAGCTCCCCTGAGGAAACCGGCCCCTCCCCAAGGTGCCTCTCCGTGTCTAGCCCCTAGACCAAGCATCAGCCTCCAGCTAGAAGACCCTCTGGCAGGAACACACCCACGGCCTCAATGTGACATCCCTGGTGTGCTGTGAAGTAACATGATACAACATGGTATGACATGGCGTGATGTAATGTGACATGGCATGATGTCCCTTGTGTGACTTGATGTGACATCCCTAGTGTAATGTGACACGATGCGACATTCCTGGTGTGATGTGTTTATTTGTTTGTTTTGAGTTGGAGTCTCACTCTGTCACCCAAGTTGGAGTGCAGTGGCACGCTCACAGCCATCACAGCTTCAACCTGTTGGGCTCAGGTGATCCTTCTGCCTCAGCCTTCTAAGTAGCTGGAACCACAGGCACGTGCCAGTATGCCCAGTTAATTTTGTTATTTATTGTACAAACAAGGTCTCACTATGTTGCTTAGGCTGGTCTCGAACCCCTGAGCTCAGGCAATCCTCTCACCTCTGCCTTCCAAAGTGCTGGGATTACAGGCGTGAGTCACTGCGCCTGATCCTGGTGTTATGTGAAGTGACACATTGTGACATATGTGATATGGTATAATGGGATGTGACACAATGTGGCGTGGTGTGACATCCCCAGTGTGATATATGTGTCAACCTTGCTGTGACATAGTGTGACATCCCTGGTGTGACATGATGTATCATCCTTGGTGTAACATAGTGTGACATCCTTGTTGTGACATAATGTGTCATCCTTGGTGTGACATGATTCGACATCCTTGATGTGGCATGGTATGATGTTCCTTGTATCATGTCCCTGGTGTGACATGGCATGACGTCTCTGGTGTGACACTCGTGGTGTGACCTTGGTGGTCAACCCAGAATGTGGAGGTCACTGTGGCTGGAGAAGGAAGGGAATGGGGCCACCTGGGCATATTGACCTGGAAGAACAGTGACCGTCGAGTCCACACAGCCCACCTTGCTAGGTGCGTTCAATCCCAATGACCCAGACAGACTTGCAGGACAGCAAGCAGGACTCTGGTTAGACTGGAGGAAGGACATGCCACTCTGTGACCTTGTGAGGAGGCATAGACTGAGGCTGTGGCTTCAACGTCCACCCAGCCCAGGGTGCTACTGAAGCCCCCACTGTGCTCTCAGCAGGGGAAGGGACAGGCAAGGCCCAAGAGCAAGGCCCAGGACAGACTGAGGAGGGGGCAGCGGGAGGGTTCCAGGGAGTCCAGGGCTGTGGGAAGTGAGACCTCTGAAGACCCTCTCAGTGTTACCCCAGGTTTTAGCTGAGTCCCTGCACAGGAAAGGAGCCTGTCCAGACACTGTATCCCCAATGCACTTCCCTCCCCACTCGCACCCAACCACCTCCCGGAAGGGTGATCTGTCCCCTGCCCTCTTCTGCTCACATCCAGCATGGGAACGATGTCGGTCTGCAGAGCCCTGGCCAGTGAGGCCTAGCCCAGCCCCCAACCTGCACTCTGCCACCCTCCCATGACCAAGCTCCCTACAGACCCTGAAGAACCCAGCCTGGAGGGAGAAGAACACCCGAGTCAGTCATACATTGGGTGGCACACGTGCTGCCACAGCACAGAGACGGTCACATGTCACCCACACATACCTGCCACAGCATGAGGTTGGTCACATGTCACACACATGCCTGCCACAGCACAAAGACAACCACATGTCACACACTGCCTGCCACACCATGGGGGTGGTCACATGTCACACACACGCCTGCCATAGCACAAGAACGATCACATGACACACACATGCCTGCCACAGCACGAAGATAGTCACTTCACACTCGTGCCTGCCACACCATAGGAAGGATCACATGACACACACACGCCTGCCACAGCAGGGAGATGATCACATGTCACACATGCCTGCCACAGCACAAAGACAGTCACTTGAGACACGCACACAGCCAACCACAGCACAGGGATGGTCACATGATAAACACAAGCCTCACACAGAGACATACTTGCCTGCTGATCCTAGCTTCGTTTCCCGTGTCCTGAGGTTCCAAATACCCTAGGCATAGAGTTGCCCCACCCTCAAGCCTCCACATGGTTCCCACCAAGTCCCACCCAGTGTCCACCCAACAGCTCCATGGCCCTCGCTTGCAGCTGCACTGTCCCTGCTGTGAACCCTGAATGGCTCCCCAGCACAAGGCCCCTTTCTCCTGTCCTGTGACTGTGCAACTGCTCCCATTCAATATCCATGTACGGTCATCATCCCATGAAACCTGGACCAGACCAGGGACAATCCCTTCCTCACCATCCACATGGGTCTATCTAACTCCTGGCTCAGGTCTGCCCTTGAGGTGACATCACACCAAGTCCTGCCCCATTTACACCTGACCCAGCCCTGTCCCCAAGGTGATGTCACACTGAACCCTATCCCATCCATTCCTGACCCAGGCCTGTCCCCAAGGAGATTTGACACCAAGTCCTGCCCCATCCACTCCTGACACAGGCCTGGTCCTGAAGAAATATGGCATCAACACTGTAGGCTTTTCTCTATGCTCTCCCAGGACCTGACACAGCTGTGGGCCAGGAGCTAGGTAGATGGTCAAGTCGGTGGTGAGACTGAGGTCACACCATCAGTATTCAGGAGAGCTAGTCACACCCAGCCCTCTGGATGAGGTAGGGCAGCCACTGCCACCTGCCAGCTCCTAAGCTCTTCTCAAGTACACACTTGGAGGCCAGGCCAGAGAAGTGACTGCAAAGATGGGTGGACTTCTCCATGGCAGAGCGTGATGAAACCACTTCAGGTGAGGAGCCCATGGCATCAGGGGCTCAAAGGTGAGCCTGGAGGGCACAGGACACAGAGACATGCTGGGTCTCATTCAGGTCGTCCCCAACTCCCCAGCACTGCCCTGGCAGCAGGTCAGAGGACTGTCCCTCCTTCTTCCTGCACCTCCCCACATGCTACAGGTATGCTTCCCTCTGGGAAGGGACACCCTACCCCCATGACACCAGCTTGAACCAAAGGAATATGCACAGACTCCCATGTTATGACCCACGCTGCTCTGTTCTTCTACCCTAAAGATGACATATCCCAAGAAGCACCACTCCTCTGGCTTGGATCCCAGAACATAGAGAACCAGACCACTGCAGTAGATGTAGAAGTGAGATGAAATAAGCCCGTGATGTGGATGTTTTCTCACCAAGAGGCCTGCTGGTTATCACAGAGGCCCCTGATACAAGTTGTCTGAGAGACATCACCAAAATGACAGTTCACCACTTGAAGTGTCCTTGAAAACAAGCATTAGAATATATGAATAGTCATGCCCAACCCAAACACAGGACTTTGACATTTACAGACTTTTCAGAGATTATTTATGAGGGTTCTCCAGAAAAGAGATAGAGAAAGAGAGAGAGAGAATAGACAGATAAAATAGATAGATAGATAGAATAGATGATAAAGAAAAGATAGTTAGATGACAGAATAGATAATAAATAGAATAGATGGTTGGCAGAATAGATGATAGATGGATAGATCGACGATAGAGAGATAGATGAGTACATGATAGAGATAAATAGAAGAGATAAAGAGATATGATAAATACAGAGATATATAGCTGTAGTTACAGGTAGATGATATAGATGATAGATATAATACAGTTACAGATACATGTAAGACAAACAGAGAGAAGAAGAGATTTATTTGGGAACTGGGGAGTAGCAAGTCTAAGGTCTTTTGGACAAGCCAGCAGCCTGGAAACTCAGGCAGAAGCTGATGTTGTGGTCTTGAGGCAAAATTCCTTCTCTGAGAAACCTGTTGGCTTCTAAGGCTTCCCATTGATTGGATGAGATCTATCAACTTTACAAAAATTAATCAGTTTTACTTAAAGTCAACTGATTGCAGATGTTAATCCCATCTACAAAATACCTTCACAGAAACACCTAAATTAGCATCTCAGTGAATCATTGGGCACTACAGCCCTGCATAGTGGACAGGTAAGAGCATAGCAGGGACCTTCTGGCTCACAATGTCCAAAGAGGCCAGAGTCATTGATGCATTTTCACCATTGTAGACACCAAGACCATGGAGCCTACAGCCCCTGTTCATGGGAACAATGCCAGGACTTGAGCCCATGTCTCTGACTCCAAAGCTCATATTCCTTCTACTCCCCACATCACCTCTTCAAGAGAGTTTAAAACATGGTCCTCATATGATTCCTGTCCTCAGGGACAGGGCTCAAACCAACCACCAAAATATGGGACCTTGAGGAGGTCCCTTGGGCTTAGAGATGTTTGGAAATGACAGGAGCCCTGGAAGTTCTGAGGATGCTGACCATTTATCTATTTAACAAATACTTACCAGATGCAACCTGGCACAGATGATACCACGCAATGAGCGTACCTTGAACAAGACAGATGTGGAATTAAGAGGCGTTCCCAGAGAGCACCTTGAACAGGATGGATGAGAACTGGAGGGGTTCAAAGAGAGAATCTTGAACAGGACAGATGTGGGTTGGTAGGCGACCCCAGAGAGCACCTTGATCAGGACAGATGTGGGTTGAAAGGCATTCCAAGGTGTGCCTTGAAGCAGAGCCCTTGGCAAAGGGCTTAGCCATCCTCAGATTTGCTCATCAATACCTCGTCTCCTGCCTTCCTGGGTCACAGAAGACTCAGCTTCCTGTACACTGAAGCTGGGTGGGTCCTGGGGAAGAAAACAGTTGCAGCCTGCTGAAGGATCCTTTTCCAAAAATGATAGGATCAAGGCCGGGCTCTCAGATCTGTAATCCCTGCACTTTGAGAGACTGAGGCAAAAGGCTTGAGCCCAGTAGTTCGAGACCAGACTGAGCAACATTGTGAGACCTCATCTCTACAAAATAATCAAAAAATTAACCAGGCATGGTGGCACATGCCTGTAGTCCCAGCTACCACAGGCTAAGGTTGAAGAATTGCTTGAGCCTAGGAGGTCGAGGCTACAGTGAGCCATGCACACCAGCCTGAGCAACAAAGTGAGACTCCAGCTCAAAAATAAATAAATAAATAAAAAGTATGAGCATGACTCTCATATGAACATAGATGAACACATTTCAAAGATGTAATTTATTATCTCATTAATTAAGGTGTTATAATCACTTCAAAGTAGAATTCAAAGCACTACACTTATATAGTTGAATCAGGAATGCTGAAGACTTTATAAATAGATCCTAAACTGGTTTTTTTCCCTGTCGGTGGCGGGGAGGAATCAATAGTTCTTCTAACAAAGATAATTTGAACTGCTACTATTTCAAAGTCATTTTGCATTGTTACCCATTATCTAAAATGTATAGAGTTGTAAAGTGGTTCAAGGGCAATGAAAGGCATAGCACCATACAATGAGGTAGACTGGAAGATGTGCAAGAGGATGACTTCTTTTCTATTGAAGGCACCCAGTAATCTTTTGGCTCATTTGTGTTTTTCACAATTTTTCCTACAAATATAAATAACTAACCACAGAAACATATCCAGATAATATACAGATATCCTGTAAGTCAATTAGAAAAATAAAATAATTCAACAGAAGAATAGGCAGAAGAATTGAAGAGATATCATAATAGTCACTAATCACATGAAAAGATGCTGAACCACACTAGTCAATCAAAATATGAAAGTGAAAAACCACATGAGAGAAAGTAGTTCAGATCAAATAAAGATGGAACGGCATGTATCAGACTAACACTTTGATAGATAAGCAATAATAAACTCTGGGAAAATTGCAAATAAAAAAATGACATGAAGTCACTGGAGCGTAACCAAAAGCAGGAAAGTACTAGTAAGGAATCTTTCTTGAAGCATTTGAAGGCACACTCAGGACATGCAAGCAAGGGCAACTAAAGTTCAAGCAGAAACCTGCAGTCTTCTAGTGAGGAATGGGATTCAGGGCTGCATTTCAAGAAGAGCTAGAAATTAAGAGATGTCCATAAAAGGAGGGAGCCACAAAAGAAAACCCCCAAATCTGCAGATAAAGTCCACTCAAATCCCTGGCTGTTCCCTTACGTGAGTAGGGAAAATTCTAAAGGGTACAGCAGAATGCAACACCTGTGAGGTTGAAGAAACTGAGATTCCAGCTATAGAAAACCACAGGGCAGATCAACCTTGAAGTTTGACTTTAGTCAATCTGTTTCCTAGCATTCAAAAACAGTGACCTGCCAAGGGAAAAAAAATCCATAGTCTGTATACATGTCTTCCATAATACTCAGTGTACATCAAAAAAATTATGCAAAGAAATGTGAAAATATGACACATAATCAAAAGAAAAGGCAGGTGATGAAGATCAACCACAAATGACTCAGACATGGACCCAATTATCAGATGAAGACTTTGAAGAAGGTATTTTAAATATGTTTGAAAAATTAAAGAAAAATATGGTCATAATGAGTGATTGCATGAGGAATACCTACAGAAAAGTTGAAAATATTTACAAGAACCTAATGAAAATTCTAGC